AGGCAGTGTTCTAGGACCAACTCTCTTCATACTCTACATAAACGACCTCTGTGATCATATTAAGAGCAATTGCGTTCTCTTCGCTGATGATGTAAAGCTGTTCAATACCACAGACAATACTGCTACCCTACAAAAAGATCTTGACTATGTATCCGAATGGTCAAACAAATGGCAACTTCAAATCTCAACAAATAAATGCTCTGTCTTACATATTGGCAAAAAAAATCAGAAAATAAAATACAAGCTGAATAGTCAAGATCTTGTTGATGACCCAAGCTCTGTAAAGGACCTTGGAATACTCACCTCTAATGATCTAAGTGCTAGAGCACACTGCAACTACATAGCCAAAAAGGCATTAAGAGTTGTTAACCTAATCCTACGTAGCTTTTTCTCTGGTAATATCACACTACTAACCAGAGCATACAAAACATTTGCTAGACCAATACTCGAATACAGTTCATCAGTCTGGAACCCACACTACGTATCTGATATTAGCACAATTGAGAAAGTCCAGAAATATTTCACAAGAAGAGTTCTCCACTCCTCTACTCGCTGTAGAATACCTTATGCCACCAGACTTGAAATTCTAGAACTAGAAAACCTTGAATTACGCCGTCTTCGGTCTGACTTAAGCATGGTATATAAAATCATACATTGCAATGTCCTACCTGTCAATGAATACTTCAGCTTCAACCATAACAACACAAGAGCACACAATAGATACAAACTCAAAGTAAACCGCACCAAACTTGATTGCAGGAAATACGACTTCAGCAATAGAGTGGTCAATGTCTGGAATACTCTACCCGACTCTGTAGTTTCTTCCCCAAACCCCAAAAACTTTAACCTTAGACTGTCTACTATTGACCTCACCCCTTTCCTAAGAGGTCTGTAGGGGGCGTGCATAAGCGCACCAACGTGCCTACCGTCCCTGTCCTATTGTTTCTCTTATTCTTTTATTTTTCTTATATGTAACCATTTCATGTATTCACAACTATGTATACATTTATACTTATTATCTTGTAAACAATTGGCAAATCAAATAAATAAATAAATAAATAAATAAATAAATAAATAAATAAATAGTTAATAACAAAATAATGAATGCAAACTGAACTGGAATTTTATACAGCAGCTTCCCCTTATTCTCTGACAAAGTCATCCCAATGCAGAGGATTTCAGTATGTCACAATTAAAATTGATCAAGATACTGGAGTTAAAAAGTGGGGCTATGATAGTTTAGTGCTTACCGGCTCAAAGTTAAAAAAGGAAAAACACTCAGTTGGAGCCATACAGGGAAGCAGCACAAGCATTTGGGTTTTCCAGAACTCTCTAACCTGGCTATTGGTTGGATGAAAAAATAGCCCTCTCCTCCCAGTGTGACAGGGTCATTTAAGGAGCAAGCTACAGGTGACTGGGGACAAGCATGTCATACTAGCCAGTGAGACATGTGTTAACACCTTCACCGTAAAGCTTAAGGAAATGGTTCCTGGAAATGATACGGTAGCAGAGTTTAAAAGAAGTATAAAAAGTGAAGGAAAGGGTGGGGGGGAATCTGTGATATTATGAGGCAGTTCCCCCAAATGGGGCACTCCATTCCTTGGCAGATAAGGCATAGCTGGTCCCTAGGAAAGATAAGAAAAATGGAGCATCACAGTTCTGAGATCCACCCTTGCACTTTAGAGATGGTCTTGGGTTTCCAGTTGTGTAAAAAAAATGAAAAGGCTGCTCTCCTACCTATAAGGCCTCAAACCACACCAGGGGAAGCATTAAAAGGCAAAACAACTTTGGTTTTTATTTAACTTAAAGAGGTTGCCTATGCCCTGGCTGCAGGAGACATTCATACAGAAACATAAAATTTCATATTTGGTAATTTTTCTTCTCTTTGATCAAAATGCAACTGCCTACACTAAAGCAAACCACCTCAATGCCAAACTATTCATTTCAAATGCCAGCATGTGGTTTTTCATTTAAAAAAAGAAGAAAGAAAAAAAAGCTACTGGATGGCCCATTATTGTTTTAAGTGGAAAAAATCTACAGCAATAAGCTGCTGTTTTATGAATTTCTCCCATTTGCAGTCGAATTGTATTGTTTAAAAATTCTATTAGTGCCCCTTTCCTCCCTGCACAAAAATTATATAAAACTTACCAAACTACCCACAAATACAAATATGAACATTCAAGTTCAAACTTTTAAAAAGAGGGTTGTTACAAATATGGTGAAAAATGATAAATATATGTATGTGTGTGTAAACATGCACACGCATACATACCAATGGTGGAAGTATATACGAATGGCAAAAGAATCACTTAAACTAGGCAAACACTCAGGAGCTGAAGGACTTGGTTTTTCAAAACATGTTTAATTTCTCAAGTTTTCATATCATTGTAAAGGGGGTTCTTTCTCTGTGGCAGATGAAGAACTAATGTATTTTAGCAGGAATTGGAACTCAAAGCTTTTCAGAAGGTAAAAATGGCTTGAAATGAAGACACGTATGTATCTCCTCACTGCTCGAGAGATACTGAAGATGGAAAAAGCAGCTGTTACTGGACTTTTAAATGGGGATTACCAGAAAGAATTTGTAAGAATGGAACTGTATGTATGTATGTATGTATGTATGTATGTATGTATGTATGTATGTATGTATGTATATATTGGCAAACCTGGAGCTCACTGTCTTATCCCAGATGATGGAAATAGGAAATATTTGGCCCTCCCAAATAGCTGACACAAAAGGGCCTCAGGTGATTCTTTCCTTGTTGACACAATGAACACAAGACAAAACCTCCTGTCCACCCCCAATATTTCAGAGCTTGCACAAACATTTGGTCCTCCATTCTGCCCATATTAAAGCTTCTTTTACCAAACACATCCTGCCCAGATTCTCCTGGTAAGAAGACAGTAAAACATCAACAAACCTTGGAGGGAGAAAAAAAAATGACTGAGTAAATACTGAAAAAGTGCTTCTGTCCAATTCCCCAGAATTCCAGAAGCTGGCCCACTGCACGGAATATCGCCATGTGAGAGACAGGCAGTTCAACTGGAATGGCTTGTTTCACAATGTTAGGCATGGTATAGAAACCCAAGATACTGAGGGGCTGTTAACTCCAAGACTTCCTGACGGGTAGGGACACACGCACACAACCACTGCTTCTATTCAACAGTCTCACTGGCCAACTGGAACAGCCTCTGGACCTTGCCGCATGCACCACCAAGCAGGGGATACAGTTGGGCCTTTCCTCCCTCAGAACATACAAGCCCTTGAAACAGTGGAGCACAGACGGGGGCAGCTGAGCGCAGATCACCTTGGTGAGGATCCTGTTGAGGGTACAGATCGATTTGGCAAGGAGAGCGAGGATCCAGTGGTGCCAGGGGAGGGGTGGCTGCCGCTGGTGGGATAATACTGGGATACGACTCCAGAAGCTGCCTTTATTTGTTTTTGGGAAGAGGCAGAAGAGCCCCTGTTCGCTAACCAGCCCCAGGCACTGCAGGATGCAGAAAACCGGGCATGGGAGATGCAGGAGAGCCAAGAGCAAAAACCGACAGGCATGGCAAGGAAATCCCTTTAGGCTGTGCTTTGCCAGAGTCCCCAGGAGATAAAGGGGCAGGAAAACTCAGGGAGAAGCTAAGAGGCAAGAGGCCAAAAGAATGACCGGGACATACAGGCGCCCCCTGTTGTCACTCAAGCCCACCACCCCTACTGTCCCCCACAACTTGATAAGAAGAAAGGAGGACCCAAAGAGAAGAAAAACAGAGTGCAACAGGGTGTTATGTAACCGCCAGGCCCACTAGGAATCCTTCAAGGGCCAGGAGGATATCTTGAAAACTCCCCTCCCCGGGCCCAGAGAACAGCAAGCAAAAGCAGGAGAGTGGGGGCACAAGGATACGCAGAGACCAACAAGGCAAAAGCCACACAGAGAACATGAGGCAAAACAGTTGCCACCGGAGGGGTGGCCAGATGGGATTTGCCAGCGCCCTGTTGACTGTAGGGATTGTCGCTGTCTGGGCAGCCATCGCCTGAACCTCCCAAGGACCCCTCCTCTAGGATAGTGGAAAGAGACTGAGTGTACAAATCCTCTTTGCATAGAAATGGTTCTAGCTCATCATTGGCTTCTTGGCCATCAGGCTCCGGAACACCTGGTTGCCCCCAGTTTGGCAGCAGAGCCTCAGAAGCATCTCTGCAGCGATCCAGTTCTCCAAGAAACTTCCGGCTTAGACCTACATTGGTAACTCCCTTGCCATACAGTTCTTGCTGTTTTAGGCTTGCTATAGAATAGTCTAAAATCCACCCTTTGCTGCTTGAACCTAAGACATTGTGACCCTCCCCATCAAGCCCCAGACACTCCTGTCTTTCCTCCAAATTTGCTGCTTCCTGCCCATCTGGAATTATATCTGCCATGCAGGGCCAATCTGGCTTCACCTCTCCACAACCTCTCATTTTTGACATCAAAGACTCTACGCCCTGATCCCTCAAGCCTAGAATGCCTTTTTGTGACCACTCTTGGACTTGAGACTCAATATGCACTGCTTCCAGCTTTGGAGTTTCCTCCTCTTGATAGCATTCCTGGACCATCTGTTCATGACTGTCTAGCTCAGACTTTAAAATGTTCTTTGTATGTGTATACATCTCTAAACAGTCTGGATATTTTATTCCAAAATTTACTATCTCAGCTTCAACCTGAGTTGACTTCAAAACTTCTCCAACATGTGTGCCATCACCTGGATCATCACAAACACAATCTGACTGTCCAGGACATCCAACTGACACCCTTTTAGATCTAGTTTCTCAGTGTGCACGTATTCCAAATCTGCCAGATGTTCCTGATCCCCCACCACTCTGTCACAAGGACCATGCTCACCCAAAAGGTCCTGTCCAGAGTCCCAGCCTCATATCTGTCCATTTCTGTCACCCCTGAGTGCCCCTGCCCTGACTCCAGAATTCCCACAAACTGCCCTTCCCGGCACAACTGGCAGCAAGGTGGCGTGTAGGTAACACCTACTTTGAGGCTTTTAGGCTGCTGCCGGACCTCCATGGCATGCTTCTGGCGCAGTTCCTGTTCACGGCGTTTATTGTATTCCAGCTGGTTTGACAGCTCAGTTTGGTGTTGCAGACGGGTAAGCTCTGTGCGGGTACGCTGGACAGTATGAAGGTGACGAAATTCCAACTCCTGGGTGGACTCATGCTGGCGCAGCAACATGGCACACTCCAGATCCTTCTGTGTTTGTTTCTTGTTCAGTTCCTGGAGGTCAGGGGTGGGGAAGACAGCAGAGTCAGAATGTCCTGTTCCATAAAGAGTATCTATGGTTCCAATATATATGAAATACTCAACACTTTACTTTTGTCCAATGGGAACCCTCTTCTCTAATGGCCAGACAACAGCAACTCTTTTATTGCCCTTTTACTTAGTATCCTATTTGTGCAAGTGAATATGACAATTTATTCTATCAACCATGATATTCTTCTGAACTATCTAGGGATTGGGAGTGGTTCTCCTCCTTTCTCTGTAGTTGGGTTTAGTTGGTGTTGGTAGGGAGATCAGGCCTGAGCCTTTTGACACACAGGGTAGATCAGATCTCAATACGCCTCACGCAATATGCACCACACATACTCCAATGTCGTATTTACATGGGACTGCATCTATTTGGGGTCAGATATCATGATTATGATCTCCAACTGTATATGTCTTGACTCTGGGCTGATCAGGTCTTGTTCCAGGCCTTCAGGCTGTGTGGATCTGGATGGGTTGAAAAACTTAACCCTGAGAAAACCGAGTGGTTTTAAGTATGTGGACTACCCAGATCTGGAGATATTCCATCTTTAGCCTTGAAAGGGTTAATACTTCCCCCTTCAGGACTGTGGCACAATTCAAGGATCTTCATGAACTCACAACTCCTGCTCAAACAGGGGTGGCAGTTGTGGCCAGGAATACCTTTGCTTAGAAAGTAGCCAATAGGTTTCCAGGTGCAATTCAAGGTGCTGCTTATCTCTTTCTCTCTTTCTAAAACTCTCATTTCTGTAACCTTTAACTGGGTGAAATGGTGCTTTAGGTGTCAACTCATAAAACATTTTGTATACACGTTTTATAGTTGATAACAGAAAGAAGGTGGGGGGGAGTTTCAAAGAGCAGGCAGCAGTGTGGAATTGAAAGTACATTCCATTCATATTTTCCTCAGAGACTGATTAGATGACTGAAACTTCTGCCTCGCAAAAATCTAATTGGAGAGCATGATTGATGACTCTTGGCTGTGGACGTGTTTCGTTGGAGAATATGAATTATGATACACCCAGAAGGATGGGGGGAAAACCAGGGTCAAGGGTGAATTACATGTCTCAGAATTGGCTACATACAGGTCATGCCAATATGTCATTCCTAATGAATTCTTTGAAGTTTTTTTGGGAAAAAAAACTGTGATCAGTTGCCAGATTCTTATGACAGTGAGGACGAGGGTGAAAATGACCCAATGGTGAGTGGACTATGTTAGGGATAACATTGTTTACCCTAACTGGTTTGGGTAAAAATAATAAATATGGTATCATGGTTTGTTAGTTAAAGTGTGTGTAACTTTAACTGCAAGAATGTAATTAAGGGTGTGGTTGTAAAAGCACTATATAAGAAGTGAGGCAATTGCAGCTCGCTCTCTCTGGCTTACTGATCCCTAATTACTGGATGGATTGATGACTGCGTTCTTGCTGGAACGGGAGTGTTGATATTCTCAACGGAGAGAAGATAAAGATTGGACTGATTTATTGTAAGTGAACTGACATTGGCTATTCAACACGGACTTTGCAAATAGAGTATCCCCGACAAGACTTGACTGAAATTGATATATGACTAATGGACCGTTTGTTTGACTATGCTATAATTCTTAAATGGAATAAACTATATTTTTGATAGCACAAGCGTATCTGTATTTTTACTGCGTGTTAACTAGAAAACTTATCTCACACATTTACCTGTCTTCCTATCTGACTTCGCTGTACATTCTGTTTAGTTTGTTTTCCTTAACACCCGTTGGGGAATCCAGGCTTAACAGACTGGTTCCCCCCTTTCATCTTCCCAACATGGCTCACGCCCCCAAAAACAGGAATTCAGGGGACTTTCCAAGCCCTAATAGATTCAGGCTGCACTAGGTGCCTGATCAACCTAACCACGGTCCTGAAACTGGGGATCAGAGCGAAAAAGCTGACCCACCCGATCTGGTTCAAACAAGTAGATGGCTCCCTGTTGGGAGGAGCCTATGCCACTCACTTAACCGAACCAGTGAGACTAGAGCTAGCGGATCACTGGGAAACCATTCGATTCGTAGTGGCTCCCAAAATGACAGATGCAGTCATACTGGGGCTTTCCTGGCTAGACCAGTGGGGCCCGACCATCTGGTGGAAAGGGGGTAGCCGCAGACTGAGGATAGCAAAGGGACCCCAACCCCTTCCTCACCATCAAATAGAAGCACCGCCCACGCAGGGAATCCTCCCCGAGAGATCACCAGAACAAATGGCAGCCACCTCCGACAAAACCCGAGGCCAGACAGATCCCAAGAGAATATCAGGACCTCATTGAAGTATTCAGCGAGACTGAGTGTGACATCCTACCTCCCCACAGTGAGACAGACTGAGCCATAGAAATCATTGGGGCAAAACTACCAAACCCCAAAATGAATGCCATGATGCCCCGAGAAATGCAAGAAATGGGCAAATATATAGACAAAAACTTAGCAAGAGGATTCATCGAGCCAGCCAAACCACGGGTTGCAGCCCCAGTACTGTTCAAAGAAAAAAAAAGATGGAACTATGAGATCATTCGTGGACTTTAGAGCGATCAATGGACTATGTGTACACAATCTATACCCCCTCCCGCTCATGAAGGACATGCTATCCCACCTGGCCAAAGAGAAGGTCTTTACCAAATTAGATCTCAGAAAAGCATACTATCGAGTCCGCATCAGGGAGGGAAATGAATGGAAAACAGCGTTCAACTGCCCCCTAGGGAGCTTCCAATTCAAGGTCATGCCTTTTGGACTACAGGGGCCCCCGGCGGTGTTCATGCAGTTAATAAACGAGGTGCTACACAAACATCTTTATAAGGGGGTTCTTGTCTACTTGAACAACATTCTCATCTACACTGAGATGATGGATGACCACATACCCCTAGTCCGCCAGGTACTGGAAAAACTTCTAGCAGCAAACCTGAATGTCAAGCTGTTGAAATGCGAATTGCATCACACACGGTTGGACTACGTGGGCTACCGAGTCTCCAAAGAGGGCATAGAGATGGACCCAGCCAAAGTACAAGCCGTTCTGGGCTGGCAGCCCCCTTGTACCCGCAGACAGCTACAAAGCTTCTTGGGGTTCGCAAACTTCTACCGACAATTCATCCCCTCCTTCGTGAGGATTGCCAAACCAATGACGGACCTCCTAAAGACAGGGAGTCCAGGAACGAAACCCCGCCCAGGACAACCCTTACAGTGGGACCTAACCTGCCAAAAATCATTTGAAACACTGAAAGAACTGTTTGCAAAAGAACCAGTACTGAAGCATCCTGACCCCGAACAACCTTTCGTCATTCAAGCAGACGCCAGTGACGTGGCAGTGGGAGCAGTGTTACTCCAAAGCAACAACCAAGGAAGCCTACAGCCCTGCGCCTACACCTCCAGCAAGCTCACGGACAGAGAGAGACAATGGGCTGCATGGGAAAAAAAGGCTTTCACAGTGAGATGGGCACTGCAAACCTGGCGCCACCTGCTGGAAGGGGGGCAGAGACCATTCGAAGTCTGGACCGACCATAAAAATCTGGAAGCCCTTAGGACCCAGTGAAAACTATCAACCAAACAAGTCCGATGGGCTCAATATTTCAACCGATTCGACTTCGGCTAAAACACATCCCGGGGGGGGAGGAACTTTCTGGCTGACGCCATCTCCCGCATGCCCCAGTACAAATGTGAAAGGGAGGTCGTAAACACCATCATCCCCCCCTACCCAAATAGCTGCCCAAGTAACCACCAGACGACAACGCCTTGATCGGCAAGACCAACCCGCAGACAACCTAACTACGAAACTGAAAACCAAACTGCTAGCAGACCCCTGGTTCCGGGACAATCAACACACCTTGACAAAAAGAGATAACCTGGCGTGGAAGGGGACAAAACTTTACGTCCCAGAATCCCTACGCACACTAGTTCTTCAGAGGAGCCACAACGCCAAACCGGCAGGCCACTTTGGCTTCTTAAAGACTTTAGACATGGCTCGGAGGCAGTTCTGGTGGCCTGGCATAAAGAAAGACGTGGACAGTTATGTGAAAAGTTGCACCATCTGCGCCGCGATGAAAAAATGACCAGGAACATACACACCCCGGACTGCTACAAATGATAGCGGAGCAAACGAGGCCATGGGAGGAGATTGCAATGGACTTCATAGTTGAGTTGCCGAAAAGTGGGGGAAACACGGTGATCTGGACTGTAGTAGACTTATTTTCCAAACAGGCGTATTTCATACCTTGCAGAGGACTACCCTCAGCCCGCCAGTTAGCCAAGCTGTTCCTGAAGCACATCTACCGCCTTCATGGAGTACAATAATGCTGTTCACAGTAGCACGAGACTAGCCCTCTTCAAGGTAGTGAGCGGCATGGACTTCATCCCAATGCCTGAGTATACAAGGGACACCCCCCCCTCAGTCAGCCTGACCGATTGGATGTCAATGCTGAAAGCAACTTGGGAGAATGTAAAAAAAAAAAGCACTGGCAAAAGTGGCACAGACCTATAAGAGACAGGCAGACAAACACCGAGCCCTGCAACGACCATTCCAGTTGGGGGAGAAGGTCTATCTCACCACCAAATATTTGAGGTTAAGACTCCCTAGCAAGAAATTGGGGGCAAAGTTCATGGGACCATTCCCCATAGTAAACATCATCAACCCAGTCACGGTGCAATTGAAGTTGCCCCGACTGTTAGGGAAAATACACCCGGTATTCCACAGTAGCCTCTTAAAACCCGTGGTCGGATCAACGCTGAAGCCCCTACCTCGTGAGCCCCCAGATTCCGTGGTCATAGGAGGCCAAACCCATTATGAGGTGCAGCAAATCCTCGATTCGAGGTGGCACAGGAGACAACTCCAATATTTAACCAAGTGGAAGGGCTACCCCTTATCAGAGGCGTCATGGGTAAAGAGTAGGAACGTCCAAGCCGATTGCCTTGTAGCAAGGTTCCATGCAGAAAATCCAACCAAGCCGGGGGACGGGGGGGTTCGTGAGCATAAGCTTCCATATCTGCAATCAATTTGATTTTGTGTGTGTGTGTCACCTTCAAGAAGTGAGGGGAGCCGAATGTCAACTCATAAAACATTTTGTATACACGTTTTATAGTTGACAACAGAAAGAAGGTGGGGGGGAGTTTCAAAGAGCAGGCAGCAGTGTGGAATCGAAAGTACATTCCATTCATATTTTCCTCAGAGACTGATTAGATGACTGAAACTTCTGCCTCGCAAAAATCTAATTGGAGAGCATGATTGATGACTCTTGGCTGTGGACGTGTTTCGTTGGATGATACACCCAGAGGGGTAGGGGGAAAAGCAGGATCAAGAGTGACAGTGAATTACGTATCTCAGAGTTGGCTACGCCCAGGCAAATGCTGGACGTAGAATGTTAACTTCAAATAAATCCTTTTTAGCTTTGGGAGTGTGGCTCGAGGCTCATGATTTAATTGGAGTAACTGCTGGAATCCTGACATTAGGCAACCATTTTTGAACCAAGGTTCCTCAAATGGATTAATTTACCTAATGTGTCCAAAATCTGGGACCCATAACTCCCATGGAATTGAAATTTGGCAAATTTTATAAAACACTTTATGACATCAAAATTATACAATAGAAGGGTTCATGACATAATACATGTCATAATATATTTCCTCTGCTGATGTCTGATTGCACTATACAGTTCAACATAGGCAATATTTCCAGTGAAGACACAACATTAGACCTTCTGTAATTCAGGAATCTGGTAAGGAAACATCTCTGAAAGGATGGCACGGTGGGTTGTCTGCTCATCCCATGACTGGCACAGACAACATGTTCTGGTTCCCAATTATTTAGACAATGTTATCCGATGGGACCAAAGAGCGTGGGCTTTCTCTGCCGTGGAGCCCGTCTTCTAAAATCATTCCCCCAGGATTCAGATAGCCTCCAGCCTGACATAATTTAAACAACCTCTTAAAACCTGGCTGTTCTCCAGGTCTTGGACCAAAGTTGATGGCAGACTCCTAACTAGTTCTCTAGAGGCTGTACTATTTTTCCTCTGAGTGGTTTATATATGGTTTTGTATTGTAATATTTTAAATGGTTTAATCTTATACCCTATCGAGAGTTGCTATGGAAGTGGGTGGCCTAACTTCATTTAATTAGTGGACATTTAATTAATAAGTCACAAAGAGCTTGCAAAGGCAGGCATTCAAGTAACCAATCATTATGCCAACTCCTTCCAAAGAGATACAGGTGGAAAAAAGGGCACACAATTTAGCCTGCCCAACAGAGTACATCTCCTGCAGTTTTGCTTTTCAAGCACAGACAGACACCCCCTTCCTGCTCCCATCAGGCACCAATTACTGGTTCTCACCTCCCGTAGTAAGTCTTGGTCCAAGTTATGGCGTGCCAGCAGCATCTTGCGTTTGTACTGGCGGCATTGTAGCTCAAAGTACTGCCGCTGGCGCCGCAAAAGGTTGGCCTCTTCCTCAGCCTGATAATGTTGCATGTTTTCTTTTTGTCTCAGCAACCATTCCTGCTTTTCCCGCTTGGGTGTGCTCTGATTCTCCTGCAGCTCCTGCAAAAGGAATAACACAAAAAAGTGAACACTCCTTTGTTGACACATTGGGCCAAGCTTTGGCTGTTGAAGGGCAGCATGCTCACAAACTGCAATGACCGAGTTCATCTGACACACTAACACACAATTCAGTATACCACTGAATTATGGTTAATGTGACGGGAAAATTTAGATGTGGGGAAGTACAGTCATCGCCTCTCCAACATTTGTGTACGTGACTGGAAAAGACTGTGGGTAGATTCCTCCAAACGTGGTCAGCCCAGGGGTTTTGGAATACAGATCTCATTATGTCTAGCTCACATACCAAGACATACTGTATATTGAGGAAACCTATCTTGGCAAACAGTTCATGGCTGGAGATTAACAGGCACAGAATTCCAAAAGAATGCGTATAAATTATACCTGTGGGCAAATTTTCATTTCCTTTTTAATATACCTTTTTGTTTTTATCCCGGAGCAACAGCAAATACGAGGGACATAAAACCCTGACTTTCAACAATGTCTCTCCGTGTTTGCCACGGTATGTGCTTGCTCAGTGAATAAAAATCCTTATCGTGTCACTCTCAGGGAAACAACTCTTATGATATTTCTATCTTTCTCTTCAAAGATACAGGCTGCATATCATTATAGGAACTGTCAGCATGACAGCATAAATCTCATTTGGTTATTTCTGGCCTTTTAAGGACATGAAATTTTCCACATATTCCTAAAAACCAGTTAAATATTTTATCTTCCCCTAAAGAAGGAATTTGCAGCATTATACATGAAATAAAACAAATCAAAATAAGAAGAAAACAAATTGTGGCAAGAATTGCTAGAAGTTGGGTGACATGTAAATTTAACTCAGGTCTCCAGAGTTATTAGTTCAAATCCAATCCACTCTTCGTAGTCAACGCAGGACTCTCACATATACAGCTTCTTAACATCGTCATCACCACCATTACCATCATCTCTGAAAGGCTTCATAGTCACAGGCAGAGGTAGGGAGGCAAAAGGAACTTTGGAAAGTCAGCTACCAAACTAGTGTGGAATAATGAACTTTTGGCTTCCTGCTGCTACCTTTTGCCACCCTTCAAATCAGGATACCTCTTTCAGCTGCTCCTTCCGTAACTTATATTGGCGCTTCTGTGATTCAAGTAAGTTGCCCAACTCCTTCTTCTGTTGACCCAAGATATGTTGCTGAAATTTCTTCTCTTCAGCTAGGGCAGCTTTTGCCTGCAGAAGTGGGAGGAGCGGTCAGGGTCACCAATGATGGGAGTGGAACAGAAAAATAGCTTAGCCATGCCTAGGTTTGCATACATGTTGGCAATTTTGTACATAGTCATCATCAGGGACGGGGGACGGGGACGGGGGACGGGACTAGACATCACTGCACATGTCACTAATAACATTAAACCATCCTTTAGAGGAGAGGTCCCCAAACCCTGGCTTGTTGGGAAGCAGGCCACTGAAGTGGGCGGGGGGCAAGTGCACAAAGCTTCATTTGTGCTCGTGCAGGATTTAGGTTGCACGTGCGACACACACACACTCCGAAACTGCCAAAGCTGCTGCCACCTGTCCATGGAACCAAAAAGGTTGGGGGCCCCTGCTTTAGAGAGAAATGGGATTCCTAGTATGGGAAAGTGTACAATTTGATCTCTGGGAAGAAATGGCAAACCACAGTGGAAGAGCTGGTGAGTAATTCCTCTCTGGACAAGGAGAGAACTTGAGATTGCCCACAAGTATACCAGGCAGTTTGCTCCTCAGGAGGAGACCACAACACTGCAATCTCTGGTAGATTTAGAGCTCTGTGAGATGTTATCTTGTTCAACCCACAGTTGGGGTTTTTAAAGACAGTGGGTTTGCATATTTCTTTTTCTAATCACTTTTGGAAACTGCTTGTTGACTGCTGTTCAGCTATTAGGAACCTTTGGATTGACAAGTTTTACAGCATTGGAAGAGTTTCCTTCAATCCTTAATGAAAAAAGTTTTAAATACAAGTTTAAGTACTTAAAAATTCTTTTAGAATAAACAGCAAAAGGTGATTAAAACATTAATTTTGGAAAGTTGCAAGTCAATGAAATGCCAAGATAGATTTAAAATACATAAAATTTTGGAATTAATTGAAAGAATCCTTCCCATGGGAAAGTTGTTTTGTTTTGAATTCTCTTTCAAAAATCATGATGGGGTAAGCCTTTGAAGGTCCAACATTAGAGGGAACCAAAAGGAGCTAAAGATTACAATTAAAGAGGAACACTTAAATTTGAGTTACTAATATAGGATGAAGCAAAATATTTTAACATGGGAAACATTGAAAGACTGCCTTGAACAATGTCAATTTTACAAGTGTCTACCTCTACTTAAATGGTTTCAAGGATGTTAGGAAAGAGGAACAGGTTTTACTTGACAAGATTGAGACTGAGCTGAAAGCGGATTTAAAAATGACAGCTACAAGAATAATATGGAAAAAGATATTCTGGATATACAAAAGAAACTGGCTCACTTCTTAATAATTAAAAAGGGTAATATACTAAGAGTAATTTTCCTATACTCAATTTACAGAAAAAAGCTTTGAAGAATTTTATAGGGGAGGTCAAAGAAAATATGAAAACAAGTGAAGTTATAGGACATTATTTGAATGGATCAAGATTGTTAAAAGCAGGGGGGCAGAGCCAACTGTAAGAGAAGACGTGCGAGCAGGAGGCTCTGCGAAGCACAAACTTCTAACTCCGCTTTGCAGGACCTATTGGGGTCAGAAGGAGACTCGTAGGGTTTCCGAAAATGTGGGGATGCTGAAGAACCTACACGGGTGGTGGTTCGTGTGGGAGAATGGAGAGAACCTGGATCAAGCGAGCAGAGGAAGGACAACCAGTAATGGCCATCCAAGAAGACTGACAGCTGGTCCTATTAGCAGTGAGATAGTGGAATGAAGGTGCATACGAAACTGATAATTTTGACAACCTTAAAGTGAGTAAAACGAAAAGGAGCACCAAAAGCGGATTTAATAGAGAAAACCCGGCATCTGAAGCCAGCTCTACCTAGCAGCGAATGGAGCGGCGAGTTTAATGGCTGGCAAAAAGATTGGAAGAAGATAGAGAAGCCAAGAAAGAGGAGAGGATCTGGTGGCAAGATTGGGGAGAAGATTTGGTGCATATGGCTGAGAAGAAGGGTGACTGGTTTGGTGTTTGGAGTGGATGTAAGACGTGAATTTTGGATTTAGTTTGGATAGTGGAAACATCTGAGATCGTTAAGAAGCTGTATATGTGAGAGTCCTGCGTTGACTACAAAGAGTGGATTGGATTTGAACTAATAACTCTGGAGACCTGAGTTAAATTTACATGTCACCCAACTTCTAGCAATTCTTGCCACAATTTGTTTTCTTCTTATTTTGATTTGTTTTATTTCATGTATAATGCTGCAAATTCCTTCTTTAGGGGAAGATAAAATATTTAACTGGTTTTTAGGAATATGTGGAAAATTACATGTCCTTAAAAGGCCAGAAATAACCAAGTGAGATTTATGCTGTCATGCTGACAGTTCCTATAATGATATGCAGCCTGTATCTTTGAAGAGAAAGATAGAAATATCATAAGAGTTGTTTCCCTGAGAGTGACACGATAAGGATTTTTATTCACTGAGCAAGCACATACCGTGGCAAACACGGACAGACATTGTTGAAAGTCAGGGTTTTATGTCCCTCGTATTTGCTGTTGCTCCGGGATAAAAACAAAAAGGTATATTAAAAAGGAAATGAAAATTTGCCCACAGGTATAATTTATACGCATTCTTTTGGAATTCTGTGCCTGTTAATCTCCAGCCATGAACTGTTTGCCAAGATAGGTTTCCTCAATATACAGTATGTCTTGGTATGTGAGCTAGACATAATGAGATCTGTATTCTAAAACCCCTGGGCTGACCACGTTTGGAGGAATCTACCCACAGCCTGATGGGAGATTTGGTGCATATGGCTGAGAAGAAAGGTGACTGGTTTGGTGTTTGGAGTGGATGTAAGACGTGAATTTTGGATTTAGTTTGGATAGTGGAGACCTCTGATATCGTTAAGAAGCTGTATATGTGAGAGTCCTGCGTTGACTACGAAGAGTGGATTGGATTTGAACTAATAACTCTGGAGACCTGACAACTGTGAATTACTAAGCACTGAGACTGGATTGGATCTTCTTAGTTTTTGCTTTACCTCTCCTTTTGATCTAAACTGAGATTTTTGAGTAAAGAAACTTTGAATTAACTAAAATGGATGATACAGTGACAGTGAGACAGCAAATTTAAAGAAGACAAAGAGACATTGTAGCGGCTTGTGAGAGACACCTGCTGGCCACTGAATCGAAACTGAACAGTAACAAGTAGAAAAAAAAAAGGTTACTTGGTTTCTTTTCTTTTTATACTAAAGCTCTTTGTTTCTCTGATTTCTAAAGTTCTAAATATGTAAGATAATATCATATGTAATCATATAGTATAGATAACATCTGTTTCTAGATTTAGATATTTATATATACATATTTGATATTAAGGTTTTAAATACTTAATTGATACAAATATACAAGTATAAACTATATATCATATATTGGCATTTAATTTAGTTAATATCATTACAACATAAGCTTTTTTATTCTACATCTTAATATATTGTTATATTATATTATTTATTACTTAGCTATACTGATATCGGCTTTAAGGATTGATTAATTGAGATTATTGACTAATTAATATTTATTATCTAAAAATTAATAATTATTGTTAAATATAACTTAATATATTATTGGATATCTAACGCTAGAAAGTAATAGACTAGTATTATCACTAATTATTATTTGAAAGCTGATATAAGATCAATATAAGATGAAATATTACTGATCTAAAATAGAAAGAAGAGACCTACTGCATTGTGTTGTGTTAAAGAATAAGAATTTACAGAAGTGGAGGGTTCTGCAAGGGAAGAGAAGAACTGGGAGAGGTGGATGAAAAATAACATTGTAGTAAAAACTATTTAAAATGACAAGGAATACAAATTTGCCTCAGATAGGAGCTGGAAAAAAAATACCCACACAAACATTGACAACAGTAACAACGGCAAGTCCCTCCAGGCAGAAATCTATTGATGAAATTCTGCCAAAGGAGAGATCAAATTCTATAAAAGATCTACAAGGTCTAATGTTGAGCATGCAAGAAATGCTATTAAAAACCATGAAGATTTGAAAAATGAGATGGGGTCAGTAAAAACTAAATTAAAGGAAAAGATACAAAATATAGATGAAAAATTTGAATGTTACCAACAAGAGATGTGGAAAAACCAAGAGAAAATAGTGGAAATAGAGACTAGAATGGAGGAGGAAGAAAAATGGGTGGATGACTTGACTGGAAAGCTGATGCAAGCAAACAAGGACTTAGAATCTACAGTAATCTTTCTAGAGGCAGAAAAGGCAGCCCATTATTTGAGATTCCAAAATGTGAAGGAGGAAAAAGGAGATCTGCTGGATGTGATGGCAGATATAATCACGAAAATATTAGGGACAGGAAAAGAAGAGATGGTGATGGAAATGGATGAAACATATAGAGTGCAGACGAATTATGCAAGGAGACACAATCTCCCTAGAGAAGTTCATGTCCAACTGGTCAAGAAATCGACCCGCGATGAAATATTGCATGGAATGAGAGATGACCCAACAGAATACAGTGGAAAGCAGATAATTGTCCTTAAACAGGTGTCGAGAATAAGAGACTTAAGAAGACCCTACCACTTCTTGACAACGAAACTTATAAAATATAATGTTAGTTTCAGGTGGTTGACACCGGAGGGAATTATGGTCAATTGGCAGGAGAAAAGATATTGATTAAACACACTTGATAAAGCGGAAGAGTTCTACGATCAGCAATTTGTCAACGAAGAAGAAGCAGAAGCAGAAGAAGAGGATGAAGAAAAAGATCTGACAGAAGAAAGAGGAACAGAAGCAATAAATATGGAAGGAAGCTCACTAGATAATAAGGATAGAAGATATGGAAGACGAGGAAAAGCGGAAGAATATGAAAGAAAAGACATAGAACCTAAAGAAATTAGAACAACAAGAAGCACTAGGCAAAGAAACAGATAAGAAAAGAGAGAGATGTGTATTAATATCGATGAACATCAATGGTATAAATTCTTTGGTGAAAAGGAAAAAATATTTCATAACTTACAAAAGCTGAATGTGGATATAATAGCCTTACAGGAAGTACACATAAAAGAAAAACAAAATTATCTGTTAAATAACAAAAAATTAGGGAAAGTTTTCTTGTCATTAGATGAACAAAAGAAAAGGGGGGGTGTTATATACAAAATATTGGATTTCAGCCAAAGAAATTTTTAGAGATAAGGAAGGTAGGATACTGATGGTGGAGATAGAACTAGAAAATAGAAAGATCCTTCTGGTAGAAATCTAAGCCTCAAATGGTCCACAAGAAAGTTTTTTTCAAAAACTGTACAACAAAGTTAAGGATATGCAATATGATGATTTTTGTCTTTTAGGTGATTTTAATGCGATTATAGATAAAAGATTGGATTATAAGGGTGACAATAGGAGAATAAAAAAGAAAAAAATATTACCAAAAATCTTTCATGATTTGGCAAGGGAAGTTAAGATTTACAATGCATGGAGAGAACGTTATCCAGATAAAAAACAATTCACCTTCTATTCTACCAGACATCAGTCTTGGTCGAGACTAGATATGGTATGGATGCCCAAGAATCTTATCTCAGAAATAATTGATATAGAAATTGAAACAAGCCTGTGGGCAGATCATAGCTATATTAAGCTTAGTTGGAAAGGTCGACCCAAACCTTCAAGATGGACTTTGCAAAGAGCAATTTTAAATGAGGAAGAATTTAAACTTAAAATGGAAAAGGATATGAAGCTCTTATTTAAAGAATAAAGAAGAGGATACATCCTTACAAAACACTTGGGACATGGCGAAAGCATTTATGAGAGGGGTGACAATAAACTACATGGTGAAAAAGAACAAGGAAAAGAAGCAACAATTGAAAATATTAGAAACAGAATATAGAAATTTGGAGATCAAACTACAAGAACAAAAAAGAAAAAAGAAATAAAATTACAAATGGACCTAACAAAACATAAAATTAGCTTGTTGGAGAAAGAACAACTAGCCCAAAAGCTGAAAAGGATAAAACAAAATACGTTTGAGAATGCCAATAAACCAGGAAGATGGCTAGCCTACAAACTGAAAAAGCAAACAGAGAAGAGATGGATCACTAAGTTGCGAGATGAACAGGGGGAGATATGCTATCAAGAAGAAGTAAAAAGAAACATAGTTCAGAAATTCTATGAGAACTTATACAAGGAAGAAGATTATTTAATAGAAGAAAAAGGGATTAACTGCCTAAAGAAAGCAGAACTCCCGAGAATTTTGGAAGAAGAAAGAAATATGTTGAATCAAAAAATAAGACTGGAAGAACTGATTTGGGCGATAAACAAACAAAATAACAAGGCGCCAGGACCAGATGGGCTTCCTACTGAACTATACAAGACCCAACAAGATATATTAAGTAACAGACTGCTGAAATTATTTAATGGGGTCTTAGATGAGGCAAGAATCCCACAATCTTGGAATGAAGCAACAATTACTATAACACTAACCCTATAGACCGATATCTCTTTTAAATGTGGATTATAAAATTTTTGTAATTATAATAGCTGATAGACTCAAAAAAAATTAAACAAATTTATTCATATGGATCAAAATGGTTTTCTCCCACATAGACATCTCAAGAATAACATAAGGACTATTTTAGATATTATAGAGTATTATGAGGAACATAGTGGCAAACAGGTGGCACTACTGTTTTTAGATGCCAAGAAGGCATTCGATAATGTAAAATGGAGTTTCATTTTGCAACAAATTAAGTATACAGATTTTGGGCAAAAATTTTCAAATGTGATATCGGCAATATATAACAAACAAGAAGCGAGGATATTGATGAATGGCCAAACAACAAACAAATTTGAAATACAAAAAGGAACGAGACAGGCATGTCCATTATTGCCACTATTATTTATTTTGACCCTAGAAGTATTAACAAGAATAATTAGGAAAGAAATGGAAATAAAAGGATTAAAAATAAAAAAGGAGGAGTTTAAATCACAAGCCTTCGCTGATGATTTGGTTTTTATTTTAGAAGATCCACAAAATTCGGGACCAAAACTTATAGAGAAATTAGAAGAATTTGGAGAAGTCGCGGGGCTGAAGATTAATAGGGAAAAAACTAAAATACTTATGAAGAATATGACAAACAAACCAAAAGAAACTTTAACTAAGATAATGGACATCCAGATAACAAAAAAAATTAAGTACTTAGGGATTACGATTTCGGCAAAATGTGCAACACTCAAGGAGGACAATTACACCCTATTAATTAAACAAATAACAGAAAATTTGAGAAAATGGGATAATTTAAGACTATCTTTTATGGGTAGAATAGCATCCATAAAAATGAATATATCACCAAAATTATTGTTTCTCTTTTAAAATGCTCCTATAAAATTGGAAAAAAAATTGTTTCATCACCTGGACAAATTAGTATCGCAATTTATATGGCAAAAGAAAAAACCCAGAATCAAGCTAAAATTGTTGCAGGATGCTACGGAAAGGGGAGGATTTGGCCTACCTGACTGGGAACTGTATTATAGAGTGGAAATTTTGACTTGGGTTAAAGACTGGATAAATGTTAAGAATAAAAGAATGCTAACACTAGAAGGATACAATCTACAAGCAGGGTGGCATGCTTTCCTGTGGCAAGACAAACAACAAGTTCATGGATACTTCCAGAGGCACAAAATCAGGCAGACCCTGTTAAACATATGGAATAAAACCAAACAACAAATTTATGTTAAAATACCAACTTGGCTATCCACATTAGAAGCATTGATGTACCCACATTTACTTCGCCAGGGGGAAGTTATTACATATGAGAACATATGAGATGGGAAAGGAGAGTTAAAAACGAGGCAAGAGCTGAAAGATCTGGGATTAGAGATAGAATGGTGGGCTTACTTACAACTACAATCGAGATATGGTAAGGATATGAAAGAATGGGGAATTAGTAGGCGGAAAACAGAATCAGACAAAATACTATTGGGAACAGATGAGAAATTGATTTAAAAAATCTATAAAATGTTACTGGAATGTAAATTAGAAGAAGAAAAGGTAAAAGAAACAATGCTGACCTGGATGAAAGATTTTGGACATAGCATAAATTTGGATGATTGGCAAACCTTATGGGATAGAAATAAAAAAATAACTTTGGTGGCACAATATAAAGAAAACTTATATAAAATGTTTTATTGATGGCATATCCCACCATCAAAATTGGCAAAAATGTACCCGAAACTATCCCCCAAGTGTTGGAAGTGCAATAAAGAAATTAGAATATATTATCACTTATGGTGGAATTGTAAGAAAGCCCAAATATATTGGCAGAAAATTCAGAAATGGATAGAAGAGATGTGCAAAATTAAAACAGAATTCAGACCCGAATTTTTTCTATTGGGAATTAATGTGGAAAAATATAATAAAGATGTAATATACTTAATAATCCATGTCACCACAGCTGCAAGGTTAGCTTATGCCCAAAGATGGAAAGGTAATGAAACGCCAGATGAGATGGAAATAATTAGGAAAATTTGGAAGTGCGCAGAAATGGATAAATTAACTCAGGAATTAAAAAATAAGACTGAATCTGATTATTATAAAATTTGGGAGAAGTTTTACCACTGGTTGAAAAAAGGAAGGAACAAGAATGTCAAAGATGACTAAACCTTATGTATATATGTAAATTTGTATTATTTTCTATATTTATTAATGATGTAAGACAATCAGGTGTGTCAGGATGTATGCACCACATTCATTGTTTTTAAATGTCTTTCTTTTTTGTATGTTTAATAAAATTTATTTAAAAAAAAAAGATTGTTAAAAGCAAAGGGAAGGAATATCAAGTTGGTTTAATGATTCAATGTTAAAATAGATATGCTGTTATCTCCAGAAACCTCACAGTGAACTTTTGTTGACCAGGACTGAAACGACAAGAGATGGGAAGCAGAAAGAAGAGATCATGTGTTGTATTTTAAGAGAAGGTAATAAGTTACTAAAATGCTTATACTTGCGATGAAGCAGAAGTCATTTCTTTGTATAGATTTTTTTCTTTATTATATTCTTAGTTTTGTTTTTTTTCTATTTTTATTTCCCCCTCTTTTCTGCACTTTCTATTTTTTCTTTGTATTCTTTTTCATTTTAATCTCTGTAATTGTAATCATTAATAAAAATATTATACAATAATTGTACAATTGGTACAAGGTATAACATTTCTTAACAACTAGGAGAATTGATTGTAAACAGCTTTGTCAAAATTATTCAATTCTTTGGAGGATGTTTTAATTTTGAAGAACAGATCAGATCCAGGAACATATGGGCCTGTTATGATTGAATCCATTTCTGTTTGGGATAATTGATCTCCTTGCTTTCAATGGAAAGTTAATACTGATCTACCAAATTGATCAGATCATTGCTGATGTGGCCAGAAGGAATGGGAACGATCAGAACAGTGTTGAGTTAATCAGAGAGGCTCTTCCCAAGCAAACCTGCAACACTTTATTTAATCTCACAAGAGTTGTGTATAAATGTGTATGATAAGGAATAATCAAAAGGAAATAGGGGAAAGAATTACTTCAATTTGGAGATAGTCGTTCACCAAGAATTAAAAAACGTGCCACCTACAACAGTTGCCAGCACTTTGGTGACACCCCTGAAGGTAGAGATCAGCTCAGTAAGAATGGGTGGTAAAAATACCAAGTCCCATGAAATTACCATCCATTTGCAAGATTTCAATCTTCTCTCTTGAGACTTTGCAGTATTTCAGGCAAGAATGCTGAAATGTCTAAAAATTTTGGGATTAGTATTAACAATTCTGACCTACCTTCCTTCCCTCCCTGCCTTCTCTTTGAAATAAGCTGTTTTAGTGCCTGCTATATTAAAAGGGGCTTAATTTTTGTGTTACCGGGCATCAGGTTCCCACTGCAAACTTGTGCTGGAGGCCAAAGTTTCCTACCTTCCCAAACTCATAGGAATTCATTTGTAGTTTCTATCCATTTAGCCAAGTGATCTTCCATCTCCCTATCCAAGTCTCCTGTCCTCACCTCTTTCTCAAAAATAGCCTGATGCTTCTTGGCCAGTTTTTCAGCCTCAGCTGAGAAGTTGTTGCGGTGGGCCTCAAGCTCTTTGTCAAGGCGCAGCTGGTGCTCATCCAGTTCAGCCTGCAGTTTGTTCTCCAAAGCCAGAAGCTGTTTCTGATGTTGACGTCGCATCCGTTTGTAGCCACTCATCTGATCCCGCAGTGCTGAGTCTTGTTCATGCTCCTGGATTTGGCGAGTCACCTGAAAGGAAGGAACCAAAGAGAGGAGGAAGAGAGAAACAGGAATATCTAATTTAATCCAAAATTGTGATATGTAGACACCACCATTCATGGGTTTATTACTCAACTAATCCTGCTGTGGGGTAAGAGAAAGAATACACTGAAGTGTTGTGCACATTCAGCAAGGATCTTCTGATCCAGTATGAGCATCTTCTCATTCCCTCTTGGCTGATCCTTGAAGAATCTTACCTTTTCCTGGATTTGCATGGTGCCTGAACAGGCTCAGGAAAAATTACCTTCCAGTCAAGGAGAGGTTAGGGTAATGGGAGACAGGGCAGCAGCGGGCAGTTTCCCACTACCACTTGCACTGTGCCAGCCCAAGAAAAGGCACAGCTTGTTGAAGGAGCCTCCAAAAAGTAGAAAAAGAGCACTCACATGTACCCTTGTGCACTTCTGATCCAACTATAGCACACCCCTAGTGCACAAAACTTCCCTTGATGATAAAGAAACTTAACAGACTTTCATTCAAGATGACTCAGCTAAGATCAACAAATGAAGGAGTAAAACATGACATATATTCAGAGGAGGAACACTCTTCTAACATGTGTAACATAACTCTTATTTTGGCATAATGATTATGGAAATTGGGAATGCTGGTTTTGCACTTTTGACGTAGAAACCATGTGAAAACAGAATTCAGCTCTGAAAGGATTCAACACAGATAAAAAAACAGGGAAAACGATGAATCTTCCAAACATGCCCTTGTTAAGTCCCCTCTTTGTCCACCTAGTATGATTCAAATTATTAATGATTCAGAGTTTAATTTAATGGGATTTAATGAAGCAGCTATCTTAAGAAACAGAAGCATTCACATTTTAAATAAATATTGCTAACTTCTCTTAGAAAATTGTTGCAAAAAATGTTCTCAATACAAAAGGTGCAGATTTCTGGCACTTATCCACCATTCTGGTCTTACCAAAGGAAACTTTAAACACTTTTGCTTGAAAAGCTCCTAAATAATGTTAAAAATAATTTCCAAAGCCATCTTGTTCACCATGAATGCACTTTTTTTTTTAACAGGCAGAACAACTGCATTTCAGGTAGTTCAGATTTCTTTCTGTCCTAATTTTCACTGCCTCTTGCTTAACAACTGCACTGCAGCAAATTCCTACAGAGGGCTCCAGATGCCACAAACATTGAAACTTCACTGACTAATACATTAAGAGAAAGGAAGGTTTAGTAGGCAGCACCACCAGCAATTTATGAAGCCACCAGTAAAGGAAGGAGGCTGGCAAAACAAAAATGAAAGGATTGAATCCAACTGAGATCAAGTTTGGCATAGGGATGAAGGTGCTGGGCCAGAAATCAGGAAACCGTGAGTTCCAGTTCTCCTTTAGGCATGGAAAGCAGCTAGTAACTTTGGCCACACTCTTAATCAGCCAACCCATCTCACAGGGTGGTGGTTGAGGGAAAAACAGAAGGTGGAACCATCCTATGCACTGCTTTGAGTTGTACAAAATATGAAGGCAGGATTATCAATCTAATAATGCAATAAAATATAAGCAAGTTTCTCTCCTCACCAGAGAAGCCGTACGAATGGTGGCAAAGTGATCTCGGTTACGGCAGTAGGCACGACGTCGGGCAGCTGACGATGAGCTCTGGGGCTCCATTTCTGGCTGGTAGGGATCATCATACAGATTGTCATGGCCCTGAAAAGCATTCAAATGCACATAAGAAGCTATGCCTTAGCTTCTAACATTGCTTCTGAAAGTTTTCCTTTAAAAGGCACAAACAGAATGTAGAGTCGGCAGATCAAACAGCACTTCTATGAGTAATTTAGGATTAGCCAGTTTTAGGAAGTAGAAGTGTAAATATATAGTGGAGCAGGACCATAAGCTGTTGTAGAGAGCAAGGAATTCCAAAATTTCTGAAGTTTAAAGCAATACAGTCCCTAAGGCAATCTTCCAAACTTGACACCATCCAGATGTCTTGTGGTAGTAATTCCTAGAATTCTAAGCAACTGCAGGGTGTATCAGATGAACATCTGTGCCATGCTGAGGAAACCTAGGTTGAGGCTTCAACTTCAGTCATGTTTCCAGTCTTAAGTACAAAGCAAGATCACATGGACAGGCAAGATTAAACATGAACAGACTAGGCATTTGTAATATAGTTGGGTTTCTTCCAACTGCTGTTTCCAAAGTATTGTTCTGACCCAGCCTTCACAAGCCCCATTCAACAGCCTACTTGTGAGGAAAAGCCCCTTTTTATTTAGAAAGGCAGGAATTCACAGCATTCAGTGACAAAGCTCCAGGTCACACATCCATAGGTGATTCACAAGTCCTAACACAGAGTCCTGACCAACCTAGTTAGTGGCAAGGAAATCCTGGCAAGGAATCTGCTGGAGGGAACTCTTCTGGAGCATGAACAGATGTCTCCGACAACCACGCCTCCCACACCCCTCCTCCTTAGATCCCAGCTAGGGAGGGGCATGTTAATGTCTCCTTCTTTTCCTGGATAGCTGGCCCTCAGTCCTGTGTTGCTCTCCTCTCTGCACTTCTCTATGTATATGCGCATCTAGGACAGGCCCCAGCTGTTCCTTTCCCTCGTTCAGCTCAGGCCCCGAAAACAGCTGTCTCTGCCTGAGCGTGAGTAGATGGGCCCTGCTCTGCATCTGGTTCTGAGACCTCCTCAGAGCCTTCCACTGGCTCTGATGGTAACCCAGGCACCCCCTCCATCTCCTCTGACTCGACTGCCATCTCCGCTGGCAGTCAATGAACCACAAGTATGTAGAAACTTAGCAGCAATCACAAGTAATGTAGACAGCTAGGGAAGACTAGTCTCGAAAAAACTTATTTTTTTCCCCCAAAGCAAGGGGGGGATGGGAAAGTGTACCCACCCATGCCTAAATTACACAACATAAGGAAGCAAGTAGGATGTAATGATCCACTGGAATCCAATTCTGTGATCATCATTATGCTTCTCTATCTTCTTTCCCATCCCCCCCACTCTGGACTTCCATTTTCTCTACCAACTCTGGTGTTGTTGTTTTTTTTTCATTATAAAGAGGTAAAGGATATTTAAAATTCAAAATTGAGCTTTTCCCTTTATTATCTCAAGATTCCCATATCCTTATGGCCTATTTGCAGGAAGGCTTACATTTTCTATCACTTACATTTTATATTACATGCTAGAAAATATTCCACAATGTTTCCCAACCTTCGCTTTATTCTGAAATTGACATTTGACTGCTCTTGCAGAAGCACAGAGTTCTATACCGGCAGACGGTGGATGACGGAGCTATTGGAGGTGACGGTATGCTCGCCTTCCTGCATCATGGCAATCTCAGCCCCGTCATCATCATCTGAGGCATCAGCCAGGCTGTTAACGCTGCTGCTCTGACTGCTGGCACTAATAGACATACTGGGTACTGAGTGGCTGCTCTCCATGCTATTGATGGTTCCTGTCTGGTGAAGAAACTGCTCTACTTCCTGAAACAGCAAAGAAGGATTAAATGAGAACAAGAAAGGTGATACTGCAAACAACTGCCTGAAAGGGGCGGGGGAAGAGAGGGAGAGAGACACTGAGAGAGACTCTGATGACCCGGGGCGTGGCACAAAGGCAATGCAGTCAAATAAGCAAGAAGTGTCCCTTTATTATCTCCAACTTTGCCCTCAATGTCCAGGTTACCTTCGGCTGGAGAAAAATCTGTCCCAAGAACAGTCTTTAAGTGGAGGAAATTGAGTCCGAAAACAAAGTACATACAAACTGTAAATAAAAATCCACACAAAACACACTGCAGTAATTAACTTGACAGGGCAGGAGAAGGAATTGCAGACTTGAAAGCCCAGCAAAACACACACAGTTGGGAAGATGCCAGGAACCCAGATAAGCCTAGACCATACGAGATAATTCACGATTTGCTCCCAACAACTTGCTGTGCGCAGCCTCCCTTTTTAAACACTGTGTTCCTAGCTGCAGCTAATGAAGGGAATCAGGGCCCTTTCCTTCCCAATAAGCCACGCAACTCACGTTGCTCCCTTCTCCATTGCTCCCTACGTGCCCTAGGATGAAGAGGGGGTGGGCCTGGGTCTTCCTCTGAATTCCCTCTCCCCTGCTCTGCCCAGCCGGCCTTTGCCCTTCCCCAGTTTCTTCCACAGCCAACGGAGCCACACTCCCACTCTCTGTCAGCTGCTTGGCCTCCCCCTCTGAATCAGATTCCAACAGGGGCATGACAGAGACAGACAAAGACTCTGTGTGTGTGTGTGTGTGTGTGTGTGTGTGTGTGTAGGAAATGGTCTTGGAGTAAGGAAGCCTCGTACACTGTTACTCTCAGGATGGTGAGAGAATTATGTGAGCTTAAGTCCAAGAAAGCCAGGGAGAACTGCATTAGAGAAAGTGGGAAAACAACAACAAACCTCTTCCTCTTCTGGTGCCTCTGCATTTGGACCATTCTGAGCCTCCTGGAAGAGGATTTTCTTCATCTTGCGGTACTGCAGATTGTCAAGCTCCCTCACTGCATCCTTGGTCCTCTGAATCAAGTCCATGATCACCGTCTGGGGTCGCTCCCTCAAGAGAAAGCAATGCTGTGGAGTCACAGGAAGAACTAGCATGAAACCAAGGAAGTAGGTCTGCAAAAGGTCTCCAAAGTTATCCACCGATCTTTTAGAATTTGTGATCTGACCAATACTTTTCCGTTATTAAGTACACTCACAGAGTTGGATAAAAACCACTGAGATTTATTAGGACCTAATAACTATATTCCTTTCACAACAATGCATAATTACTCTCAATTTAATTTGAGTAAACCTAGATTTAACACGTAATGGTTACTCAAATCCATTTAGGGACAGAAAGTGAGAGAAGCTCAAATACTTTGGAAGACTCATTGCTTATCAACAACTTAATAAGGAAAAAAATCATCCAAAATCAATGCAAGGTACACTTTCAACACACAATTCTACAATTTTATGAATCCAATGTGAAGATTCAGTATTTATCATGGGTCTGTGGGCAATAAATGATGAAGAGTGTTATTTATTAGGGTGTTTCCTTAGAAACATTGTACCAACATTTTTCATGTGTTACCAGTTCCCGATGCTAGCTTTTCCCTTAACACATTCTTCTAATTTAAATATTCTTATATTTACTTTAACTTCTTTTTGTCCCAGATGGGATAAAATGAATACAACTTCCACAGCTACAGGCATGGTGCACTGGGGATGGGGGGAAAAGGAATCTTGCAGGAGTGAAAACGGGTGGAAGATACCTTAAGCAGCACATCAGAGGTTGGACGGTCCTGGGGAATCTTCTGCAGGCATGAATCCACAAAATTTCGGAAATATTCAGACCTGAAGAAAACAGGGAAGAAAGTCAGGGATTCATTTGAATCTATAAACCTCTCTTTTTTGCAAGCTTAAAGCTATTTTTGGAGTTTTCCTTACCAGTGACTAGATTGCAGCAGTGGTGAATCATTCTGGGCGATGTGGTATAAGGCACTCATAGCATTCATGTTAAAGAGGGGTGGTTTGCGCTCCGCTAAAGATACAAGGACAGTAATGTTAGCACCGGTATTTGTGTTTTTGCAGAAAGCCCTCTTCCACATCATTCCCCCAATTAACTCCAACCTTATAAGGCAAGTAGCTCATTCCATACCAAGTTCAATGCAAGTGATGCCAAGTGACCAGACATCCACCTTGCCATCATACTGCCCCTCATCCATGGCTAGAATTACCTCAGGAGCCATCCTAAAAAGAGAGCGCAAGATTAAGCAATCATACATTGTAACTTAGCAATGGCTCACATTATTACATAGAGCCTGAAAGATTGTTGCATTGAAGATGCCTGACCCTGGACACAGACCACAAAATACTGCCGAATTGTCAATGTTGCTATTAATCAAAGGGGGCAAATTATTAAACAAATGAATGTGTGTTATTAATATATATCTTTAATATATTTCATTTTCTTAGACCCATTACTTCTTGAAATGAGTCTCCAAAGGATGCCCCTCAAAGTTTCACATATGGCATCCCTGAATTACACCCTCCAATCTTTGACCTATAAAAGGAGAAGACTTCATTTTTTTTTTAGAATCAACTGTTATTAAAACTACATTGGGACTCTTTGCAAAACCCAGGGAACCCACTTTTCTAATTATCAAATTTCTTCTTGTTCAAAGAACCAGTGAGTCTCAAATGCATGTCTACTCCCTTGTTGTCTCTCTAGCCACTCCTTCACTCTTCCTAAGCGGCTAGGGTATGGGGATATGGTCAATAAAGGCATTACTGCTCTGTTTCAGATTACACAAACATCTCATTCTGCCAGTTTACCAGTATGGGGTGCCAACAAAGGAGTTAGCAGGAGCAATGATAGAAGCTGAGCCAAAATCCCCCAGCTTCACTTGTCCTGATTCAGTCAGAAGGATATTCCCAGCTTTGACATCCCTGAAAAGACAGGCACAGTAATTAAAAACTGAACAGAGAAACGGAGAACACAGTGGACGAATATGGGCAGTCAAGATGAAAAGCAGTGTGAGTGGCAGGAGAAAACAGGAGGACAAAGATTAGGCCAACATTTATACGGACCAGGACAAGGAAGACCAGGAGAGAGGGCTGCATTAGCAAACTTCTATATCGGTAATGGCCTCTGACTCTCAATAATTTGATAGCAACAAGTGAAAGATTTCTACTCTACTTAAATTAGGCTGCTGAAATGAGGAATTTTTTTTAGTAGAAGAGTGTGTTTATAGCATAGTTTTTGAGTTGAAAACATATAGGTAGTCCTTTCTTAGCGGTCATTAAGCAAAGTGGTTACTAAGTGAAACTGTGACTGCATTTAATATCAGACTTCAGCTTTTGTTTGCTTTATGGACTTGTGAAAGTTGTAAATTTGAGGATTGGTAGTAAAGTTATTTTTTCATCAATGTGGTAACTTCAAACAGTTTCTAAAACCAGGCAGTCACTAAATGTAGACTACCTAGATTAACAGCAAAATCGGATAAAAAGCAACTTTTTAACTATATGTCTTTTCCTTAAGTTGCTTGGGATATCAAGGATTATATACAAAGCAGATTTAAGAAATTTGAAGACTGTTCAGTTCTGATAATTGAGCTAGACTGCATAAAGTGCAACATTTAACTGAAGCATGAATTTAAGAAGTAATTTTGCCATTCTACCTGCAAATCATACAAAGAGAATAAACAGTAAAATGTAGCAAGAAACAGGGCTGTGTCAGATAGACGCATGGAGCTGATTGAAAAACAGACTAATAGATTCTGGTACAGATTTCACAATGCAGTAATAAGTAGATCATACTGTCAACTCATGAAACATTTCTATGTCCGTTTTATAGTTGACAACAGAAAGGGGGGGAAGGAGTTTGAAGGAGCAATGTAGCAGTTTGGAATCGAAAGTGCATTCCATTCATATTTTGCAAAGGTTATACTAAGCGACTGGTGTTTCTGCCGCACAAATCTCAAATTGGAGAACATAATTGATGATTCTTGGCTATGGACGTGTTTCGTTGGAGAATATGAATTATACACCCAGAAGGATGGGGGAAAAACCAGGGTCAAGGGTGAATTACGTGTCTCAGAATTGGCTACATACAGGTCATGCCAATATGTCATTCCTAATGAATTCTTTGAAGTTTTTTGGGGGAAAAAAACTGTGATCAGTTGCCAGATTCTTATGACAGTGAGGACGAGGGTGAAAATGACCCAATGGTGAGTGGACTGGTTCCCCCCTTTCATCTTCCCAACATGGCTCACGCCCCCAAAAACAGGAATTCAGGGGACTTTCCAAGCCCTAATAGATTCAGGCTGCACTAGGTGCCTGATCAACCTAACCACGGTCCTGAAACTGGGGATCAGAACAAAAAAGCTGACCCACCCGATCTGGTTCAAACAAGTAGATGGCTCCCTGTTGGGAGGAGCCTATGCCACTCACTTAACCGAACCAGTGAGACTAGAGCTAGCGGATCACTGGGAAACCATTCGATTCGTAGTGGCTCCCAAAATGACAGATGCAGTCATACTGGGGCTTACCTGGCTAGACAAGTGGGGCCCGACCATCTGGTGGAAAGGGGGTAGCCGCAGACTGAGGATAGCGAAGGGACCCCAACCCCTTCCTCACCATCAAATAGAAGCACCGCCCACGCAGGGAATCCTCCCCGAGAGATCACCAGAACAAATGGCAGCCACCTCCGACAAAACCCGAGGCCAGACAGATCCCAAGAGAATATCAGGACCTCATTGAAGTATTCAGCGAGACTGAGTGTGACATCCTACCTCCCCACAGTGAGACAGACTGCGCCATAGAAATCATTGGGGCAAAACTACCAAACCCCAAAATGAATGCCATGATGCCCCGAGAAATGCAAGAAATGGGCAAATATATAGACAAAAACTTAGCAAGAGGATTCATCGAGCCAGCCAAACCACGGGTTGCAGCCCCAGTACTGTTCAAAGAAAAAAAAAGATGGAACTATGAGATCATGCGTGGACTTTAGAGCGATCAATGGACTATGTGTACACAATCTATACCCCCTCCCGCTCATGAAGGACATGCTATCCCACCTGGCCAAAGAGAAGGTCTTTACCAAATTAGATCTCAGAAAAGCATACTATCGAGTCCGCATCAGGGAGGGAAATGAATGGAAAACAGCGTTCAACTGCCCCCTAGGGAGCTTCCAATTCAAGGTCATGCCTTTTGGACTACAGGGGCCCCCGGCGGTGTTCATGCAGTTAATAAACGAGGTGCTACACAAACATCTTTATAAGGGGGTTCTTGTCTACTTGAACAACATTCTCATCTACACTGAGATGATGGATGACCACATACCCCTAGTCCACCAGGTACTGGAAAAACTTCTAGCAGCAAACCTGAATGTCAAGCTGTTGAAATGCGAATTGCATCACACACGGTTGGACTACGTGGGCTACCGAGTCTCCAAAGAGGGCATAGAGATGGACCCAGCCAAAGTACAAGCCGTTCTGGGCTGGCAGCCCCCTTGTACCCGCAGACAGCTACAAAGCTTCTTGGGGTTCGCAAACTTCTACCGACAATTCATCCCCTCCTTCGTGAGGATTGCCAAACCAATGACGGACCTCCTAAAGACAGGGAGTCCAGGAACGAAACCCCGCCCAGGACAACCCTTACAGTGGGACCTAACCTGCCAAAAATCATTTGAAACACTGAAAGAACTGTTTGCAAAAGAACCAGTACTGAAGCATCCTGACCCCGAACAACCTTTCGTCATTCAAGCAGACGCCAGTGACGTGGCAGTGGGAGCAGTGTTACTCCAAAGCAACAACCAAGGAAGCCTACAGCCCTGCGCCTACACCTCCAGCAAGCTCACGGACAGAGAGAGACAATGGGCTGCATGGGAAAAAAAGGCTTTCACAGTGAGATGGGCACTGCAAACCTGGCGCCACCTGCTGGAAGGGGGGCAGAGACCATTCGAAGTCTGGACCGACCATAAAAATCTGGAAGCCCTTAGGACCCAGTGAAAACTATCAACCAAACAAGTCCGATGGGCTCAATATTTCAACCGATTCGACTTCGGCTAAAACACATCCCGGGGGGGGAGGAACTTTCTGGCTGACGCCATCTCCCGCATGCCCCAGTACAAATGTGAAAGGGAGGTCGTAAACACCATCATCCCCCCCTACCCAAATAGCTGCCCAAGTAACCACCAGACGACAACGCCTTGATCGGCAAGACCAACCCGCAGACAACCTAACTACGAAACTGAAAACCAAACTGCTAGCAGACCCCTGGTTCCGGGACAATCAACACACCTTGACAAAAAGAGATAACCTGGCGTGGAAGGGGACAAAACTTTACGTCCCAGAATCCCTACGCACACTAGTTCTTCAGAGGAGCCACAACGCCAAACCGGCAGGCCACTTCGGCTTCTTAAAGACTTTAGACATGGCTCGGAGGCAGTTCTGGTGGCCTGGCATAAAGAAAGACGTGGACAGTTATGTGAAAAGTTGCACCATCTGCGCCGCGATGAAAAAATGACCAGGAACATACACACCCCGGACTGCTACAAATGATAGCGGAGCAAACGAGGCCATGGGAGGAGATTGCAATGGACTTCATAGTTGAGTTGCCGAAAAGTGGGGGAAACACGGTGATCTGGACTGTAGTAGACTTATTTTCCAAACAGGCGTATTTCATACCTTGCAGCGGACTACCCTCAGCCCGCCATTTAGCCAAGCTGTTCCTGAAGCACATCTACCGCCTTCATGGAGTACCACGAAGCATTATCTCAGATAGAGGGGTCCAGTTCACGGCCAAATTTTGGAGGGAGTTCCTGCGGTCTATTGGTTCGTCCCAGGGCCTTAGCTCAGCCTTTCTTCCGAGCACCAATGGGGGGGCAGAGAGATTGAACACCATGGTAGAGCAGTACCTCTCTACCAAATATCTGAGGTTAAGACTCCCTAGCAAGAAATTGGGGGCAAAGTTCATGGGACCATTCCCGATAGTAAAGATCATTAACCCAATCACGGTGCAACTGAAGTTGCCCCGATTGTTAGGGAAAATACACCCGGTATTCCACAGTAGCCTCTTAAAACCTGTGGTCGGATTGACCCTGAGGCCCCTACCTTGTGAGCCCCCAGACCGTGTGTTCATAGGAGGCCAAACCCATTATTAGGTGCAGTGAATCCTCAATTCGAGGTGGCACAGGAGACAACTCCAATATTTACTCAAGTGCAAGGGCTACCCCTTATCAGAGGCATCTTGGGTAAAGAGTAGGAACGTCCAAGCTGATCGCCTTGTAGCAAGGTTCCATGCAGAAAATCCAACCTACCTGGGGGGAGGGGGTGTTCCACAACCCTAAGTTCTATACCTGCACTCAATGTGGTTTTTGTGTTGTACAGGTCACCTTCAAGAAGTGAGGAGAGCCGAATGTCAACTCATAGAACATTTCTATGCCTGTCATGCCCCTGGTGGAGACTGACTCTGAGGAAGGGGAGGAACAGCCAACAGGGAGTGGGAATGTGGCTCCAGAGGTGGTGGTGGAGGCTGGGGAAGGGATTGCCAGCTGAGCAATCAGAGGAGGATCCAGGCCCATCCCCTATCCATCCTAGGGCACACAGAGAGGAGAGGATCAGGGAAAAGCGAGGTCTACTCAGGAGGAGATTACCATGATCCTCCTCGTGGCCTGCAGCTGGGAGCTATGTACTATATATAAGTTTGTAACTGCGTAGTCAGAATTGCTGGAGTCAAAGTTTAGAGTTTTATCTTTGTTGGCGTTCTTCCCATGGACTCTCCCCGTTATCTTCCTGGAATGTATGCTTAATTATCTTGGCTTGCTTCGGAACTCTCATCAATGCAGTTTGTTTTGGTTTCCTTTTGCCTCCTTATTTACTTTTGTGACTTTAAAGTGTGCCTAATAAAACAGTGAAGTTAAGTTGAAGGCATTACCGGACTTTAATGTATGTTTTGGGTTTTGGGTTATTTTGAGAGACTACGGGTCATCACAATGCCCTTTTATAGTTGCCAACAGAAAGGGGGGGGAGGAGTTTGAAGGAGCAGTGCAGCAGTTTGGAATCGAAAGTGTATTCCATTCATATTTTGCAAAGATTACACTAAGTGACTGGTGTTTCTGCCGCACAAATCTCTAATTGGAGAACATAATTGATGATTCTTGGCTATGGATGTGTTTCGTTGGAGAATATGAATTATGATACACCCAGAAGGATGGGGGGAAAACCAGTGTCAAGGGTGACAGTGAATTACATGTCTCAAAATCGGCTACATACAGGTCATGCCAATATGTCACTCCTAATAAATTCTTTGAAGTTTTTTGAAGTTTGGCGCAAGGCTCATAATTTAATTAGGGCGATCGCTGGAATCCTGACACATACAGTCCTACACTAAATGGATGTTATAAGCAGCAACATCTCTAAGAGAGTGCAGTGACACAATATAGAGCTCACCTGTGAATCATATTGTGTGAATGCAGGTAGGCAAGTCCCTGCAGAGCACCATGCGTTATAGCTGCAATCTCTACTTCCTGCAGTGGTTTCTTGTGCACTAGGAAAGAAGGGATGGAGGAAAGAACATTCTTTAAAGGTCTCAGAAAAGGTTTGTGGGAAGATTGGTCTCTTCAATTGCTCTTGGACTCACCTTCCAGCAAATCTGAGGCTGAGCCTAGGCAGTATTCCATCACCAGCTAGTGAATTAAGAGGAAATGTTAGTGTAGGGCGAATAAATCCTTTGAACTTGAAACATCCTGTCCAGTGGTGGGGTTCAAATAATTTAACAACTGGTTCTCTGCCCTAATGACTGCTGGGTAGGCGTGGCTGGTTGGGCATGTGACTGGGTGGGCATGGCCAACTCTATGTCACTCACATCAAGGAGCACCTTGCCTGGCCTCTCCTCTCCTCGCCCCTCCCCTCCCAGCCAGTCTTTGCCTCGTCTTGCATGTTATGGTGAGAGAGGAAGCTTTTTCAAAGTCATCTTCCCCTTGATACTAGCCCAGGGGTGTCAAACTCAATTTCATGGAGGGCCACATCAGGGCTATGGTTGACCTTGGGGGGCCGGGCGGGTGTGACTGACTGGGTGGGTGTGGCTGACCGGGTAGGTGTGACCAGCTTGATGCCATTCACTGGGCTGGCCAGGTGGGCATGGCCAACTGGGTGGGCATAGCCATTTTAATGCTGCTTACTGGGTGTGGCTGACTTGGGACGGAACAAGTCATACTGGCTAATTTGATATGGGGACAATTTGGTGCCCCACAAGCTCCTCATTTCCCAAAACTGCTAGCAACCAAGTTTGGGACTTTTATCCACACAGGAAGGAGAGAGCCTTCTCCCCTAGGCCAGCATGATTGGCAGTTTGTAAGCTCATATGTGGATAAAAGTCTCCAAACTTGGAATGGTGTATGTATGTGTGTGTGTCTGTGAACAGCACGCCAGAGGAGATGTTCTTCTCCCAATCACAGACATTGTTGGCATTTCCCTGTCTGGTGCATCCTCCCAGCAATGGAGGAGGCAGAGGACACTGCTGCTGTGTGTGGAACCATGGAGGAGAAAGTTTGCAGGAAGCTGTTTCCTCCAAGTCCAACTTCTGCCTTGGCAAATCTCTGGAGAGCAAGAGGCGGGGGCAGGGGAGCAATGCTCCCTGGTCCTGCATGAGGGGGGGCTGGCCCTTCTTGAAAGGGAATCCCTGTTCCCAATTATGAGTGGTAAGGATGCTAGCTTGTTGGGGCAGCTTTCCCTCACACTTTTATCTGTATTAGTGTAATTTCTAATAAAATTATAAATATAAATATTGGCAATCCTGCTTCTGGCTTATCTGGGTGAAAGATTAGTGACTCACTGAATCCTGTTAGCTTTGGAAATGATACATTCACTGGACTCAGTTATGTTTATATAAGGAAAGGATTACCAAAACAGCAATCCATTGGAGATGTAACAAGGATAATGCTTTTTTAAAACACATGTATTTACAATTCTTTACTAATGCTTGGGAGTTTGGGAGAAATTATTGGATTGCATAAATATAATTATGTGACAAAAGCCAACATTTCTCTCCAACATCCAAGAAGCCCAGAAATAGAGTTCAAAATGCCTGAAATATCCATCCAAAGTTTAGCTTTTGCAGGCAATGCTGGTTGGATCCCTAGGGTCTCCTTGTGGGTCTGTCCTTTGGGGGGAGAACAAAGTACCCCTCCACTGACTTCCTGACATTTTCCACACAGCCTTAGAGCATGGTGTGCTTTGGGGGCCCAGGGGGCAAGGGGATGGGGGCTTATGGAAGAGGATGTGTATCAGGTGTTGGGTGTAGTGATTTAACACATGGGGTATGCCAATGAAGGGTTTTGGGCCTCTAGTGGGTATCTCCTGTGCCATCCTCACTGTACCCTGGAGCAAGTACTTTGTACTTTGTACTTCCACTCCAGAACCCTGGGCAGCGGTAGGCAAGCACCCAGTCCAGCCCTCCAGCACTGGGATCCCACAGCTGACCCCAGCGCAGCCAAGGCCAAGCTTCTCCAAGGGGGCATCCGCTTACCTCCTTCCTTAAGGGCAAAGCTGTTGCTAGTGCTGGGCTCAGAGGCAAAGGTGGAGAAGTGACGGTCCATGCTCAGAGGACAAGGGTCGGGCACAGAGGAGAAGGTGTAGGAGCGAGAATCTGGGCACAGAAGTGGAGAAGCATGGGGGAGAATGGAAAAGCGAAGGTGTAGGAGCAAAGAAGCGAGGCAAGACTGGGCACAAAGGCGAGGGGCCGGGCACAGAGACAAGCTTCAGCTGTTGCTGGAAGAGTGAAGCATGCGCACATGTACCTGCTGGTATGGGGCGGGTCAATGCGACAGGGGGCGGTCTCTTGCATTTTCCAGGATGTCCCCACAGGCTGGATTCGACTGCTTTGCAGGCCGAATCCAGCCCGCGGGCCTTGAGTTTGACACCCCTGTACTAGCCAATAAGACAAGATTTTGCTATCAGAAGACCTGATGTACATTTCCAAGTATTGTTTATAATCATTCTCTTGGTAACACTGAATGGAGAGATTTATAAAGAATAACAGAGATGGAAGGGACCTTGGAGGTTTTTCTAGTGCAACCCCTGCTCAAGCATGAGACCCTATACTATTATGGACAATTTTCTTCTTAAAAACCTCCAGTGATGGTATACCCACAACTTCTGAAGGCATCCCATTCCGCTGATTAATTGTTCTCACTGTCAGGAAATTTCTTCTTATTTCTAGGTTGTATCAGTTTGATAAGTTTCCATCTCACAGATCCGTCTGACACTTACTTCCAGTTGAGCCAGGCACCATCTATTCCCGTGATGGTGAACCTATGGCACGCGTGCTGGAAGTGGCACAGAGAGCCATCTCTGCGGGCACACGATCCATCGCCCCAGCTCAGTTCCACTGCACATGCGCACACACCTCCTGCCAGCCAGCTGATTTTCAGGTATCTGCATGGGGGGCGGAGTGCATGCAGGAGACGCATGCACATGCGCAGGGGGCGGGGGAGCACAGGGGTGTCCTGCACGCCTGCACAGGGGGGCGGGGGAGCATGAGGTGGTCATGTGAGCATTGCATTATGGGTGCAGGCACGCATGCACGCTGTCACACACGACAAAAAGTTTAGCCTGTGCATTTGGTTTTTTTCTTGCCTAAGTGTAAAATCTTACTTTACTCTCCAGTAAATTGCATTATTGGTGAGAAATGATGTTCTACAGTGGCATTCGTTTTACTACAATGATTTTTGCAAAATGCACTAAAGCTTGAAGAATACATCTCTACTTATACTGATAAAGATTATTCTTTTTGAACATTAAAGCATATAGTCAAGCAAATATTTCCAATCCATTGTAAATTAACACACATTTGAAAGGCATTTTCAAAGCAGTCAGTTAGCGGATGTCTTGCCATTCTTTCTCTTCTCTTCTCTTCTCTTCCTCTTCTCTTTCAATTAAATCTTTCTACTTTATTTTTTTTTCTTCTTATTGCAATATTCCAAAACTTTCACAGACCCTTCACAAAGAACCATTTCTAATTTAACTGGAATACACTGTTTTCATTCTCAGTTTTTCTGGTTACAGAACTTCACTTTTCCTTCACTCATCATTCTTCCCTTTGATGATGTTTGTATGTACTTGCAAAACAAGGAAGCAGTTAATTTTGGAGCCGCCTGGGCGAGGGCAGCTTGCTGTATCCAGGCCCAGCTTCATCCTGAGTGGCGATCCCAGTACTGGTCCGGCGACCATAACCACCTCGAGAGCCAGCTAGCCTGTCTAGCCTGAGCCCACCAAGCGCTCCTGGCCAGTCTCCTGTGGACCAGGCGGGAAGGGACGATCGCACCCAGCCCCATGTTGCCCAGAACGGCCAGCAGGCAAGGCTTCTGGGTCCAACAAAGGGGCCGGGGACAGGACTTCCTCCCCTCCCTCTTTTGGTGAGATTTTCAAACAAAGGGCTGGGAACTTCAAGCGAGCCATGCGCTGCAGCCTCACCCACCCCCGTTGACAGCTCTGGGCTAGGCAGCGGTTTGATTTTCCCGGCTGGCTGCAACTGCAACCTTACCTTCCTCCTGCAGCTGGTGGCAGAGGGGAAGGTGAGCCAGGGCTGAGCCGTTGCCGCTTGTCTCCCCACCAGCCCACATCTCGCCCCCCAAGATTCTCCACAGCTGCTGGGCCTTGCCTACCAGCGGGCAGGGGGGTGACCAGGGAGCATGAGGCTACACCACTCGCATCGCCCCTCTGCCAGTTGCCACTCCCTCCCTCACGCGCCGGCCTGAGTGCTTCGGCTGAGCGTGGGCCGCTGTTGTGAGAACGGTGCGAGCCCCATGGGTAGGCTGGTGGCGGAGAAGGAAGATTTGCTCCGGGTTTGCTGTGCTCAGCCAAAGGGCCACCTCGGTGGGGAGGACAACACGGTGAGGCTCAGCCACCTTTCGGGCCCTGCTCTGGGCCACAGCCTACTCGACCTCCTCTCCGCCTTGGGTCCCACATCCAGGACATGCCGCTTCCAGGCCCGCCCGGCTGGCGGATGGATGAGCGGGTGGCCCTTGGGGGAGGCATTTTCTCTCAGGCTTCCCACCCAGAGGTCCCACAGAAGCCAAAGCTGGGCCTGAAAGGCGGACGAGCCTTGCCGTGTCCCCACCACCAAGACGGTCCTTCGATTGAGCGCAGCAAGCCTGGAGCGGATCTTTCTTCCCCACTGTCAGCCTTACCTTCCAGCCCATGGGGCTTGCATAGTTCTCACAGTGGCGGGCCGCACTTGGCTGAAGCGTGCAGGCCTGCGGGCGGGCAAGAAAGGAGCAACTGGCAGAGGGGCGATGTGGGTGGCGTAGCCTCATGCTCCCTGGTCGCCCCCTCCCCCGCCCCCCGGCAGGTGAGGCCCAGCAGCTGTGGAGAATCTGGGTGGGGGGCGAGATGTGGGCTGACGGGGAGGAGAGTGGTGACAGCTCAGCCCTGGCTAACCTTCCCCTCTGCCACCAGCCACGGGAGGAAGGTAAGGTCGTGGGACAAAGAAAGAGGCAGTGGTGGGGGAATAAGCAGGGAGAGTAAGTGGCCTCTGAAGGAGGAGAAATGGGGTGGAGGTAAGCAAGCTGATTTGGCAAAGGGTGAGACCACAGTGGAAACATCCGGGAACAAGCGGGGCAGTGTGGGGGGAGATGTCCCTTTAGAAAGGTAGGAACTGGCATGTCCCCTGATCAAAGGTGAAGGGCGAGCGGGCGGCATGTGGGTGGAGGCCCTGGGGAAGGCCAGAGCCAGGGACTGGCGCATCCCCTGAACCGAAGCGAAGGGTGAGTGGGCAGCATGCAGGCAGAAGGATGGCGAGAGCCAGGCCTAAAAGGTGGCCGGGCCTCCCTGTGTCCACCCCGAGGCAGCCCTTCGGCCGAGTGCCTTACCTTCGCAGGCAGCTGCGGTAAGTAGAGTGGGGAGGCGTGGAGATCAGCTGGCCCGCGTGGTCTAGGCAAGTGAGCAAAGGAGCCAGAGTAGCTGGGCGCGGGCGTGACTAGCCACTAACCAAGGCAAGTGAGGCTAGATAGGGCGGGGTGGGGCAAGCCAATGGTGCAATTAGCTGGTTCTCTGAACTGTGCAAATCTTAACAACCGGTTCACCTGAACCAGCTGAATCCCACCTCTGATCCTGTCCCAATCAGGGCTCTGGGAGCCCAGTATGTCAATTCCATTTTGTACCTGGCATTTCCAAGTCACTTAAAAATATAAGAACATCCGCTAATTCAGACCAAAAATCCACCATTCTTGCACCAATGCCATCCAGACAAAAACCACACCTCCAAAAACCCCATGAATATAAATAGAATACTACCAAAAACAATTTTCTCCATGATTTTCAAGAAAGGAACCACCACTCTATTGCATTGCAATTCCCTCCCTTAAATTGCACTAAGGTTTCAGGCAGAGAAGCAAGAAACCCAGTCATCATTCAGGCTCTTTTCAAGACTTCCCCTCATCTGCATCTTCACTGCATATCTTAAATTATTTAAAAGGCTTTCTGTAACATATCTCTACAATGGCTTAGAACGATCTGTTTCACTCTCATCTTACCCATGCTGTATGTTCCCGTAAGTAGCAGCCCTTGTATTCAATTGTGTTTGGGTGTCGCAGCTTTTGCAAAAATTTTACCTCCTTGATTATGTCCTGCCATTTCTGGAAAATACAAAAGAGAGCCTGAGCTCCAACATATTTCTATATTTTGAGTAAAGGAGAGAATATTATGAGAAGCCTAGAAAATTTGAAAAGCAGGAGAACTGGATTACCTAGGCCAGGGAGACGCTAGAAGTTAATGGTCAACATAACTGTGTTAATAGTTTCAAAAGGACCAACCTCATTAGACTGCTTCCCACTGTAGGACATCTTCTTAATAGCCACCACTTCATTGTTGCGTATGTCTCGGGCCTGGGGAGGATAACAAGAGTAAACCAAAGGATGATGAAAATAACTATCAGCATCCACAGTCAGTCAAGTACAGAGAGGAATTTGGTTCCTATGCCTGGAAAAAATACAGTTCAAAAGGAGTACATTTTACGTTGCATGGTGAATCACACATTCTTAGAGCAGAGATGCCCATGAGGCCAGAGATATGTGGGACTGATGAGTACCTGATATCTATTTAAAGTTACATCTCTACTAAATCAGACCAATTCATCTTCCCATTTCTGATCATGGCCAATCAGATTCTCCCTGAGAATGCTATCGGCAAGATGTGGAGAAAGTTTCTCCCACTATTGCTGTTCAACATCTAATATTCAGTGGCAGGGGTCTTCTGATGGGATGGAACCCAGAACTGATTCTATTATAAGCAAGGCTGATGGGAAAGAGTTGTGTTAAAAGATCTTGGCAAGACTTGAGCATGAGCATTAACACTCCTTTGGCACTCACAAAGTAGACAGCTCCAAAACTGCCATGACCAATCTCCCGCAGGTCAACAAAGAGCTTCTCAGGGTCATCCTTGAAAAACAGCTCAGCCACTTCAGGGTCCTTCAGACTGCCAACCCGGGCATTAGATGGCATGGCTGCCGTGGATGAGGCTGGACTTCACTGTTGCTGTTCTCCTAAAGTGGGAAACAAATATTAGCAAACTGGACCAGCAGGGTATAAATAAGGTAATTTATTCTTATTTATAAGAATGTAATTCAATTATATTTGTTGCCGCCACCTTGCTGAAGCGAAGCAAATCCTGAGATCCTTGCAAGAAAGGGTATAAATATACAAAAATTATACTCCCATTTGAAGAAGTAGGTTCAAGGACGCATGCAATCCTGACAAAAGCTCAGGAAACCTTTTCAAAAGGAATCTGTAAGCACCAACTCCTATTCACAGAAATAAGAGATCTGAAACAAGATAGTCAACGAGAGATGTTTATAGCAGGAAGGCCATCAATGCCAAATGGAGGCGGATCTTGCTGTGATACAGAAGGTAAAATAGACTTCTCTCATTCAAATTGGGCTTCTGCTATTTATGTGACAGCATTCAACTAGTAATTGTTAGGATACTGAAGTACTAATATCAGCTTTATTCATCTCTATATTCCCCACTTTTCCAGCTCTAGTTCAAAATATGTTTGTGCTTTATTCTTTCTATGAAAATCCAGGAGTTTTTGATAAAGCTATACCTACTTTCCATAGATGCAAAAATCAAATTTGCCCCTAATTTTTGGCCACTAAAATAATCTCCACTGATTGCTACTTTAATGACAGGAGTACATTTTTTCTCTCTCGTAAAGCGACTCATGTTTCAGTCTTGTACTTGTATGTCCCACCTTTATATTGAAATGGGCACAAATTTCCATTCAATTAATGTTCTTAACTACTCAGTTTACTAGATTTGTTATCTGCATTAATTTCTGCGCTATCTTTATTGAAAGGAGAGATGCAGAAAATGATATGATTCTCTATTTTTTAAAAAAGTACAAGCCTTTGGAGAGCTTGCTAAATATTTTCAGTTTTATTTTTAACTGAATGTTATGTTAACTGAGTCCAGTTGAATACTACCATGTCTTTTTGTCCACTATAACTACTCTGCTGCTCTTAAGCAACTCCTCATGTAAAATGAAGAAGTTGGCTATAAAGGATTAAAAGGAATTAGAGGAACATAGACCAAGGGATTTCTAGATCCTTGAACAAAATTTTACTGGCCTTGGTATTTGTTAGCTGGGAAGCAGACAATTTAGTCCTTTACAAAGAATGCAGTGAGTATGGAAGTTGGTTATTTATGCATAACCCTCATACAGGTACATCAATCTCTTTCATTATTGCACAATGTCACCCAAGTCTTAACTTTTATGAACATCATATGCATGCACATGAAATATTACATACGATTAAGCAGATACCAAGAATGTAATGAGTCAGAGAAAAAAGTTTGTAACTCACGAATGAAGGCAAATATACATGTCCCAGGATAATGTTGCAGGTTCCATTCTGGGTCGGTCACAGGACCAGAGGTTTTGTCTTCCGAGCTTTCGGACTCATGCTGGAGACCATCCTCTCTAATGGAATGTCTAACATTCTCTCTAACAGAATGTTCCCTGAGGATGGGCTCCAGCATGAGTCCAAAAGCTCAGAAGACTAAACCTCTGGTCCCAATGACCAACCCAGATTGGATCCTGCAAGTGTGTAACTGTTTCTGGAACATGTGGGAACAGCTGTAAAAGATGACACACCCATACAAAAAAAATTGCTCATTCTCTGTAAATGTTCCTTTTGAAAAGGGTAATTTTTCTATACTCTTTCCCCATCTTCCAGTCTGCTATATCTACAGCAAATTTCTCCAATATGGTTCCTCCAGGTGCACTGGACTACAATTTCCATCCAACACTGCCAATAACTTGTTGGGAAATCTAGAAAGTTATAGTATATTGGTAGGCACATTCTGGCTAAAAGCTATTTACACAACATTTCTAAAGTGAGCCCTTTAAAGGTTAAGGATATACATTTAAAAAATGATACTTCGAGCATCTGAAATGGGTGTTGGTTTACCTGAACGCCCGTTCTCCTTGTAGGCAAGACAGGTCAGGAATGGGTGCTACTCCTATCCTAGCTGCTTGGACTGAGTCTGTCTAAAAGGCTTATTAGCCTAGCTCCGCCCAGCTTTCTGAGAAGCCAACACGACAGACAGGACTGCCTCTATGAAAAAACAAAATCAAAAAAGACTGTTATTGGTTCCCCCCTCCCATAGGCCCCCGGAAGGACCAGATCCCTTCGGGTGGGACTGACCTGTGTTGCCTACAAGGAGAACTGGTGTTCAGGTAAATCAACATCATTCTCCCTTGTAAGGCTGCAACAGGTCAGGAATGGGACATACCAAAGCAGGGTTGTCCTCGGAAGGGTTAAGACTGGCCCTGGCTCTCACGGTCCATGACCACTTGTTGCAGGACCCTTCTGCCAAATGCCGCATCCGCTGAAGCAAAGGTGTCCAGCCGGTAGTGGCGGATGAAAGGCGACAGGGATGTCCATGTGGCTGCTTTGCAGACCTCTTCCACCAATGCCTGCGTAGCCCAGGCCGCAGTTGTCGCAGCGCTGCGAGTGGAGTGCACCGTAATGCCTCTGGGTACCGGAAGGGACCGACTCGAGTATGCTCTGGCTATACAAGACTTAATCCACCTGCTGACTGTGGAAGGAGGAAGCTTGAAAGGAACAAAAAAGGGATTCTGTCCTACAGAATTCAGTTCATTTGATGTAAACTTTCAGAGCCCTGCGCACATCTAAGGTGTGCCAAACCTTTTCCAAATCATGGACTGGATGGGGACAAAAATCCGGAAGAACCAGCTCTTGAGACCTGTGGAAGAAGGTATTGACCTTGGGGATAAATGCCGGGTCCAACCATAAAACCACCCAATGACGGTGAAAAATACAAAGATCAGTGTCAGCTTCCGTTGGAAGACGATGAAACTTTTTCCAATAAATACTTCACTCACAGCTTGGTTGTGGCAAGATTCGTTTATTGTGGTTTGTTTCTTCCAACAACAGCAACAAACGGCACTCCCGAGAAAAACCAGCGCTGAGAGCATCTGCCTCTCAGCTCTGTTTATATCCCTCCCCACCCTTAATCATTGTCATCCCCAACCTTAATCATTGCCTAGCCTCCTGTTCCCGGCAAACAGTTAATTTTTGCCTCCCTGCATGCACCGCCACCCCATGATACTCCCCATCCCCACTCCTACCCCCTGTGCATATTCCCGAGTAAGAGTGCCCAGGTGTTACCCCCCACGCTACGTGCACCGCCACCCCAGGCCACAAAAGCCAAAAATCCCATATCAACATGTGCGTAAGTCTAATCAGCTGACAAGCCGCTCAGAAATGCCATGTGAGAGCTGGGAAGCGCTGCGCTGATATGCCGGCCCGACAGTTCATCCAGCTGGCTGCATCGGGAGGAGGGGGTTGCGAAGCGTTTCACCTGTCAGTTCATATCCAGCTAGCTGCGTCAGGAAGGAGGAGGAGGGTGCGAATTATTTCGCCTGGCGCTGGCTAAGCTCGCTCTCGCCTGGAATGGATTCCCCGCCCCAGGTATGTGTTGGGCTTCGCTCTGTCTGTTAGTATGGTGTCGCTAAGGAAGCCCAACAATCAGGGCAAGCTGAGAGGGCGACCAACTCCGACACTCTTCTGGCAGAGATGACAGCCACCAAGAAGGCCACTTTCAGGGTAAGAAGGTGCGGACTAGCTTGGCAAAGAGGCTCAAATGGAGCCTTCGTAAGGGACTGCTAAACCCTGGGCAGGTCCCACGTTGGATACCTGTGAACCACCGGAGTGCAAAGATTGACCGCCCCTCTGAGAAACCTACGGACTGCAGGATGTCGAGATAAGGACTCCGTTTTGCCACAAGCCAACACCGAAGATATAGCTGTCACCTGCCGGCGAAGGGTGTTGGGAGACAGGCCTCTATCCAGGCCAGCCTGTAAAAATTCCAATACGTTAGCCACCAAGGCCTGTAAAGGTTGAATATTAGCTTTGGAGCACCAACTAGAAAAGACTTGCCATGTAGCATCATAAATATGGATGGTCGAGGGTCTCCTGGAGGCCAGAATGGTCCTGATAACCTTGTTGGAGAGATGGGCCCATTTTAGGACGCCCCACTCAATCGCCAAACTGTCAGATGTAGCCACTGCGGCTCCGGATGACTCGGGAATCCCTGGAGGAGAGAGACATCCTCTTCAGGAATCCGCCAAGGTAGGGTGACTGAGAGACCCATTAAATCCTCAAACCAAGGGTGCCACGGCCAATAGGGAGACACTAACACTACTTCCGCTTTCTCCCTCAAAATCTTTTGAACCACAGCTGCCAGCAAAGGCAAAGGAGGGAAGGCATGCATCAAACCTGGAGGCCACTTACAGTGTGTTAGGAATAATCATAGTTACCTAACGTTGTTTGGGTAAATAATATATAAACCATGATAGCAAAGTTTAAATGTGTTTTTCACTTTAAACTCTAAATGATATAATTTGGGTGCGGTTGAGAAACTGCAATAAGAGGGAGCTAGAGAACCTGGATTGCTACTGGATTGATGGTTGATTGTTCTGCGTGTTCCCTGTTGCTGACGTCGAAGGAGGAAAGAGTTTTGAATGCTGCATATCTAATCTACTGTGAGAAGATATTTACTGGACTGATTTATGGATTGACATTGTAAGTTAACTGACCTTTTTTTTTCGACACTGGAATTTTGCAATTGAACAATCTCCGGACTGAACTGATTGAACACTAGTGAATGATATTTGGACTGTTTGACCCTGCTAAACTCTTAATGGAATAAACTATTCAACTAAGACAGTGTATCCATTTTTACTGAGTGTGTAAACTAAAAAACGCTTTCTCTCATATTCGCCTGACTGCCTGACTGCTGTGCACATTCTGCTAGGGTATATCCCTAACACTGGTTATGGGCCCAGGCTGCACAGTCAGACTAACCAGGATACAACAGGCTTATATAAATTGAGAGTTAGTGTAGTTACACAATACTGTAAACCGACAGCTGTGTTTTATTAGTTTATTATAGCTTAATATCCAAAGAAAAATGGC